CACCAGGCCTGCTTTACAAGAGCTCCTGAAAGAGGCACTACACATAGAAAGGAACAACCAGTAGCAGCCACTCCAAAAACATACCAAATGGTAAAGAACATCAACACAATCAAGAATCTGCATCAACTAACGGGCAAAACAGCCAGCTAGCATCAAAATGGCAGTATCAAATTCACACATAACAATATTAACCCTAAATGTAAATGGACTAAATGCCCCAATCAAAAGACACGGACTGGCAAATTGGATAAAAAGCCAAAACCCATCGGTGTGCTGTATCCAGGAAACCCATCTCACATGCAAGGGTACACAAAGGCTCAAATAAAGGGATGGAGGAAGATTTACCAAGCAAATAGAGAGAGAAAATAAAAGCAGGAGTTGAATTCTCGTCTCTGATAAAATAGACTTTAAAGCAACAAAGATCAAAAGAGACAAAGAAGACATTACATAATGGCAAAAGGATCAATGCAGCAAGAAGAGCTAATGGTCCTAAATATACATGCACCCAATACAGGAGCACCCAGATACATAAGGCAAGTTCTTAATGACTTACAAAGAGACTTAGACTCCCACACAATAATAGTGGGAGACTTTAACACCGCATTGTCAATATTAGACAGATCAACGAGACAAAATTAACAAAAATATCCAGGACTTAAACTCAGACCTGGAACAAGCAAACCTAATAGACATTTACAGAACTCTCCACCCCATAGCCACAGAATATACATTCTTCTCAGCACCATATCACACTTACTGTAAAACTGACCACATAAGTGAAAATAAATCACTCCTCAGCAAATGCAAAAGAATGGAAATCATAACAAACAGTCTCTCAGACCACACTGCAATCAAGTTAGAACTCATAATTCAGAAACTAACTCAGAACCGCACAGCTTCATGGAAACTGAACAACTGGTTCTTGAATGTTGACTGGATAAACAATGAAATGAAGGCAGAAATAAAGATGTTCTTCGAAACCAACGAGAACAAAGACACAACATACCAGAATCTCTGGGACACATTTAAAGCCGTCTCTAGAGGAAAATATATAGCAATAAATGCCCACATGAGAAGCAAGGAGAGATCTAAAATTGACACCCTATCATCAAAATTGAACGAGCTAAAGGAGCAAGATCAGAAAACTCAAAACCTAGCAGAAGACAAGAAATAGATCAGAGCAGAACTGAAGGAGGTAGAGACACAAAAAAAACCTTCAAAAAATCAATAAATCCAGGGACTGTTTTTTCGAAAAGATCAACAAAATAGACAGACCACTAGCCAGATTAATAAACAAGAAAAGAGAGAATAACCAAATAGATGCAATAAAAAACGATAAGGGGGATATCACCACAGATTCCACAGAAATTCAAACCATCATCAGACATTATTACAAACAACTCTATACACATAAACTAGTAAACCTGGAAGAAATGGATAAATTCCTGGACACTTGCATCCTCCCAAGCCTAAACCACGAAGAAGTCGAAACCCTGAATAGACCAATAACAAGGTCTGAAGTTGAGGCAGCAATTAAGAGCCTACCACCCAAAAAAAGCCCAGGTCCAGATGGGTTCACAGCCGAATTCTACCAGACATACAAAGAGGAGCTGGTACCATTCCTTCTGAAACTATTCCAAACAATACAAAAAGAGGGAATTCTTCCCAAATCATTTTATGACACCAACATCATCCTGATTCCAAAACCTGGTAGAGACTCAACAAGAAAAGAAAACTTCAGGCCAATATCCATGATGAACATAGATGCAAAAATCTTCAATAAAATACTGACAAGCCGATTGCAACAGCACATCAAAAAGCTTATCCACCATGATCAAGTAGGATTCATCCCGGGGATGCAAGGCTGGTTCAACATACGCAAGTCTATAAACATAATTCACCACATAAACAGAACCAAAGACAAAAACCACGATTATCTCAATTGATGCAGAGAAGGCCTTTGACAAAATTCAACATGCCTTTACACTAAAAACCCTGAATAAACTATGTATTGACGAAACATATCTCAAAATAATAAAAGCTATTTACGACAAACCAACAGTGAATATCATACTGAATGGGCAAAAACTGGAAGCATTCCCCTTGAAATCTGGCACTAGACAAGGATGCCCTCTCTCACTACTCCCATTCAATATAGTATTGGAAGTTCTAGCCAGAGCAATCAGGCAAGAAAAAGAAATAAAGGGTATTCAAATAGGAAAGGAGGAAGTCAAATTGTCTCTATTTGTAGACGACATGATTGTATATCTAGAAGACCCCATCGTCTCAGCCCAAAATCTCCTGAAACTGATAAGCAACTTCAGCAAAGTCTCAGGATACAAAATCAATGTGCAGAAATCACAAGCATTCCTGCACACCAATAACAGAACCAAATCAAGAACGAACTGCCATTCACAATTGCTACAAAGAGAATAAAATACCTAGGAATACAACTAACAAGGAACATAAAGGACCTCTTCAAGGAGAACTACAAACCACTGCTCAACAAAATAAGAGAGGACACAAACAGATGGAGAAACATTCCATGTTCATGGTTAGGAAGAATCAATATTGTGAAAATAGCCATACTGCCCAAAGTAATTTACAGATTCAACGCTATCCCCATCAAGCTACCAATGACTTTCTTCACAGAACTGGAAAAAACCACCTTAAACTTCATATGGAATCAAAAGAGAGCCTGCATAGCCAAGTCAATTCTAAGGAAAAAGAACAAAGCTGGAGGCATCACGCTACCTGACTTCAAACTATACTACAAGGCTACAGTAATCAAAACAGCATAGTACTGGTACCAAAACAGAGATATAAACCAATGGAACAGAACAGAGGCCTCAGAGGCAACACAACATATCTACAACCATCTGATCTTTGACAAACCTGAGAAAAACAAGCGATGCAGAAAGGATTCCCTGTTTAATAAATGGTGTTGGGAAAACTGGCTAGCCATGTGCAGAAAGCAGAAACTGGACCCCTTCCTGACACCTTACACTAAAATTAACTCCAGATGGATTAAAGACTTAAACATAATACCTAATACCATAAAAACCCTAGAAGAAAATCTAGGCAGATTTTCAGGACATAGGCATAGGCAAGGACTTCATGACCCAAAACACCAAAAGCATTGGCAACAAAAGCCAAAATAGACAAATGGGACCTAATCAAACTCCACAGCTTCTGCACGGCAAAAGAAAGAGTCATTAGAGTGAATCAGCAACCAACAGAATGGGAAAAAAATTTTGCAGTTTACCTATCTGACAAAGGGCTGATATCCAGGATCTACAAAGAACTAAAACAGATTTACAAGAAAAAACAAATAAGCCCATTCAAAAGTTGGCGAAGGATATGAACAGACACTTTACAAAAGAAGACATACATGAGGCCAACAAACATATGAAAAAATGCTTATCATCACTGGTCATTAGAGAAATGCAAATCAAAAGTACATTGAGATACCATCTCACACCAGTCAGAATGGTGATCCTTAAAAAATCTGGAGACAACAGGTGCTGGAGAGGATGTGGAGAAATAAGAACACTTTTACACTGTTGGTGGGAGTGTAAAGTAGTTCAACCATTGTGGAAGACAGTGTGGCGATTCCTCAAGGACCTAGAAATAGAAATTCCATTTGACCCAGCAATCCCATTACTGGGTATATATCCAAAGGATTATAAATCTTTCTACTATGAGGACACATGCACACGAGTGTTCATTGCAGCACTGTTTACAATAGCAAAGACCTGGAAAAAATCCAAATGCCCATTGATGATAGACTGGACAGGGAAAATGTGGCACAAATACACCATGGAATATTATGCAGCCATCAAAAACAATGAGTTCGTGTCCTTTGTAGGGACATGGATGAACCTGGAAACTATCCTTCTCAGCAAACTGACACAAGAACAGAAAATCAAACACCACATGTTCTCACTCATAGGCGGGTGTTGAACAATGAGAACACATGGACAGAGGGAGGAGAGCATCACACACTGGGGTCTGTTTGGGCGAAATAGGGGAGGGACGGCGGGGTGAGGAGTTGGGGAGAGATAGCATGGGGAGAAATGCCAGATATAGGTGAAGTGGTGGAAGGCAGCAAATCACACTGCCACATGTGTACGTATGCAACAATCTTGCATGTTCTTCACATGTACCCCAAAACCTAAAGTGCAATGAAAAAAAAAAAAAGATTTACATGTCACAACCAAGTTTAATTTATCCTAGGTATGCAAGCCTGGTTCAACATTCAAAAATCAGTTATTGTAATGCATCACATCAATAAGCTAACAAAGAAAAGCCACATAAATACAGAAATAGATGCAGAAAAATCATTTGACAAACTCCAATACCCACCCATCTACGATTCTAAAACTGTCAGTAAACTACTGTAGAAATAGATGGAAAATTCCTCAACTTGATAAGAAAGAAACTACCCCCAAGAAATCCTAGAACTAACATTATACATGATGATGAGAAACTAGGAGATTTCCCATTATGTTCAGAAACAAGAATGGCCTCTTTCACCATTGCTTTTCAACATCATATTGGAAATCTTACCTAATGCAATAAGACAAGAATAGTAATAAAAGTAGACAGATTTGAAGAAAAGAAATGGAGCTGCCTTTGTTCACAGGTTATTTGATTGTCTATGTAGAAAATCCGGCACTCCAGCCCTGCAGCCTCAGGAGTCGGTGCCGCGCGCCCGCCGCCCCGCGCCCTCCTGCCCACCGCATCTCTCGGAGCCCGGGCGCACCCAGCCCACCGCGGCTTCTCCCCCACCCGCGCCTCCTCCTGCTGCGTCGCCTCCTGCTGCAGGCCGATGGCCGCCACCGGCCGGGGGACCGGGCAGCAGCGCGGGACCGCGGAGCCGGGCAGCACTGGGGACGGCGCCTTTTGTCCCGGAGGTCCCTGGAAGTTTGCGGCGGGACGCGTGCAGGGAGGCGGCGGAGGCAACCCCAATGTCGCGGGGGCCAGGGCGCAGGGCCGGCATGGGCAGCGGGCGCAGCACGGGGGTCAGCCGCTGGGCCGCCCTGGGCATGCTGCTGGCGCTGGGCGCTGCACTCCTGGCTGCGGGCTTGGCCAGCAAGTACGACTAGTTGAGCTTCCAGTCGGACATCGGCTCCTACCAGAGCGGGCGCTTCTACACCAAGCCGCCGCAGTGCGTGGACATCCCCGCGGACCTGCGGCCGTGCCACAACGTGGGCTATAAAAAGGTGGTGCTGCCCAACCTGCTGGAGCACGAGACCATGGCGGAGGTGAAGCAGCAGGCCAGCAGCTGGGTGCCCCTGCTTAACAAGAACTGCCACGCCGGCACCCAGGTCTTCCTCTGCTCTTTCTTCACCCCCGTCTGCCTGGACCGGCCCATCCACCCGTGCCGCTGGCTCTGCGAGGCCGTGCGTGACTCATGTGAGACGGTCATGCAGTTCTTCGGCTTCCACTGGCCCGAGATGCTCAAGTGTGACAAGTTCCCTGAGGGGGACGTCTGCATCGCCACGACCCCGCCCAATGCCACCGAAGCCTCCAAGCCCCAAGGCACAACTGCGTGTCCTCCATGTGACAACGAGTTGAAATCCGAGGCCATCATTGAACATCTCTGCGCCAGCGAGTTTGCACTGAGGATGAAAATAAAAGAAGTGAAAAAAGAAAACGGCGACAAAAAGATTGTCCCCAAGAAGAAGAAGCCCCTGAAGTTGGGGCCCATCAAGAAGGACCTGAAGAAGCTCGTGCTGTACCTGAAGAACGGGGCCGACTGTCCCTGCCACCACCCGGACAACCTCAGCCACCATTTCCTCATCATGGGCCGCAAGGTGAAGAGCCAGTACTTGCTGACGGCCATCCACAAGTGGGACAAGAAAAACAAGGAGTTCAAAATGAAAAACCACAAATTGCCCAACCTTCAGGGGGGTGTTTAGGTGATTCTCCCGGGGGCGGGGGGGCGGGGGGACAGCACCCCAGGAACCCGGTGGGTCACACACACGCACTGCGCCTGTCAGTAGTGGACATTGTAATCCAGTCGGCTTGTTCTTGCAGCATCCTGCTCCCTTCCCTCCATAGCCACGCTCCAGACCCCAGGGTAGCCACAGCCGGGTAAGGCAAGGGCCATTTCCATTAGGAAGGCTTTTAAGATCCACAAGGCAGAGCAGCAGCCTCCGCACAGGAGGAGGTGACAAACCATTTCCACCAGCGACGCAGCCACTAAAGTACAAAAAGGGGAATTGGGCAGAAAGTGAAAGCCAGCAGAACAAACTGTTTTGCAACTTGTTGGTGTTGATCTACTGGCTGGTTTATGCCTTTTAGCTAGAACATTCTAATAATTGGCAAGTCATGTTGATTTCAGGTTGAGTAGTTTCTTTCTGTCTGCTTTAGATGGAAACAGACCCATACCACACTTACAGTTAAGGTCAAGCCCAGAAAGTGATAAGCACAGGGAGGAAAAGTGCAAATCCATTACGTAATAGTGACAGCAAAGGGACCCGGGAGAGGCATCGCTGGCTCTGCCCACCGTCTTTCCTTGTGATTTTCTTTGGATCCAAATCAGCCAGTCTTAGATGCTCTGAAAGTTCAGTTTCTATGAGCCCAGGGCACAATCTTATCCCCCAGACATCTGGAGGGGCAGCCTGTGCCTGCCTTTGTGTCAGAAGAAGGAAACCACAGTGAACCTGAGAGAGGCGGCAATTTTTGGGCCGAAAAGGCAATGTCTGGTAGTTTTCAAACCACATAGTTAAAAAAGAAACAAATGAAAAAAATTTTAGAACAGTCCAGCAAATTGCTAGTCAGGGCGAATTGTGAAATTGGGTGAAAAGCTTAGCATTCTAATCTCATGTTTGTTCCTTTTCACATTTTTAAAAGAACAACAACAAGCACCCACTGATTTTTCAAGGTTTTAAAAAAGTCTACATTGAGCATTCGAACATTGTGCTAGAACAAACTCTCCTGATCCGTCCCAGGCTGCTTTCCCGAAGAGCAGCTCTCCCCAGGCATTTGCCAAGGGAGGCGGATTTCCCTGGTGGCGCAGCCGGAGCCATGTGGCTCTCCTTCCTGAAGAGTCCTTGGTTGCCCTAGAACCTAACGCCCCCAGGCAAAACTCACAGTGCTTTCTGTTCTTTCCTTTCCAGTAAAGAAACAATCGTTTGACCTTGATTGCCTACAGATCAAAGAAATTTGGAACAGCCTGCCTGTCTGTCCCCTGCACTTTTTACATATATTTTTTTCACTTCTGCAGATGGAAAGTTGACAAGGGTCGGGTGTCCCCATCCAGGGAGAGAGTTTCAAAGACAAAACATCTCTGCAGCTTTTCCCAAGTGCCCTGAGATATTTCTCAAAGCGCTTATGTTTTATCAGCGATGTACATAAGCCAGCTCACTTTGACAAATTTACCCCTCTTGTCCAGTGTACAGGAAGTAGTTCTAAAAAAATTCATATTAATTTTTTCCCCAAAGCCGGATTCTTAATTCTCTGCAACTCTTTGACGACCTTTGTGATTGTCTGTCTGGGCCAATGCTTATGCCCAGTGAAGATGCTGCAGTGAGGCTGTAAAGTGGCCCCCTGTGGCCCTGGACTGACCTGGAGGAACGGATGGTAGGTTCTGTTAACTGTTGAAGATTCCAGTATGAAATTAGCATGCCCACCTAGTTACCTACCTGAAAGTTATCCTGATATAATTAGCCTCTCACAATTAGTGATCCTATCCTTTTAATGCTTTTTTTGTGGGGTTCTCTCTGACCTTTGGTCGTAAAGTGCTGGGGACCTTAAGTGATTTGCCAGTAATTTTGGATGATTTAAAAAATGTGTATATATATTAGCTAATTAGAAATATTCTACTTTTCTGTTGTCAAACAAATTCAGAGCAAGTTCTTGAGTGCATGGATCTGGGTCTTAGTTCTGGTTGATTTCACTGAAGTGTTTAGTGCTCGTATGTATCTGCCCATTTTGAAAAAGTGCCTCATGCAACCACGCCCTCTCTCTGCGGCAGAGTCCTTAAAGAGGGGTTTATCTGGGACGTTAGCAATTACCACAGAGTATGGAAGGGCAGGTGACTGTGCTGTGTAGCTCTCTAAATGGAAATTCTCAGGTAGGACGTGACAGCTTCAGAAAGAGCCCAAAATGAATTGGAAATGTGAATCACAGCTGTGGATTTTATCACCACCTCAGAGACCTAGGACTTTGGGTTTCATTAGTTACTTTAATGAAGATTTTAGACCCATAGCTGCTTTGTCTCTATCACATCAGCAATTTCAGAACCAAAAGGGAGGCTCTCTGTAGGCCCAGAGCTACACTATCACGAACCTTTGTTTTTCTCCATAAAGTATCTAACAAAATCAATGTGCAGACTCATCAGCCTAGTCATTGGTTTCCGAGAAGGATGTCTGCATGTGATTTGCCAATTATCACTAGGGCCAAGGTGGCTTTTGTAAAGCTTTACAATAATCATTCTAGATAGAGTCCTGGGAGGTCCTTGGCAGAGCTCAGTTAAATCATAGAAGAGTATTTGTAGTTATCTTAGAAGATAGCATGGGAGGCGAGGATTCCAAGAACATTTTATTTTTAAAATATCCTGTGTAACACTTGGCTCTTGGTGCCTGTGGGTTAGCAGCAAGTTCTCCCCAGGGCAGAATTCAATCAGAGCTCCAGTTTGCATTTGGATGTATAAATTATAGCAATTCCATTTCCCAAACCTAAAATCTGTTTTTCTCATCAGACTCTGAGTAACCATTTGCTGAGTCATAATTTCATAGATGCAGGAGGCTCAGGCATCTGTTTCAGGAGAGCACCCTAGGCAGCCTGCAGGGAATAACGTACTGACCATTCTGACCTGTTACCAGCAGATACACAGGACATGGATGAAATTCCCGTTTCCTCTAGTTTCTTTCTGTAGTACTCCTCTTTTAGAGCCTAAGTCTCTTACAAAAGCTTTGAATACTGTGAAAATATTTTACATTCCATTTCACTTGTGTTGTTTTTTTAACTGCATTTTACCAGATGTTTTGATGTTATCGCTTATGTTCGTAGTAATTCCCGTATGTGTTCATTTTATTTTCGTGCTTTTTCAGCCATGTATCAATATTCACTTGACTAAAATCACTCAATCAACAACAACAACAAAAAAGAAAATCCAAAAGAATTGAAAAAAAAAATCCTATAATTAATAAACAATTATAGCAAGGGTACAGAATACAAGATTAATATATAAAAGCCAATTGTTCTCCTAAATATTAGCAACAAACAAGTGGAATTTAAAATTAAGAGCACAATATTATATTATTTACATTAGCACCTCCCAAAATAAAATAGTGGCATAAATCTAACAAAATAGGTCAAGATGAACACAAGGATAACTACAAAACTATGATGAAAGATAAAAGAACTAAATAGTAATTCCATGTTCATGAATAAGAAGCTTCAATATTAGCAACAGATCAATTCTTCTGAATTTGATGTATAAGTTCCATGCAATCCCAATCAATATCCCAGCAAGTTATTTTGCAGATATCAGAAAATTCTATAGTTTATATGTAGAGGCAGAAGACCTACAGTAGCCAAGTCAATATTGAAGGAGGAAAGTGAAGTGGAGGACTGATGCTACCTGACTTCAAAGCTACAGTAATCAAGACAATATATATGGACAAAAGGATAGGCGAATAGGTCAATGGTACAGAACAGAGAGCCAAGAAATAGACCCGCACAACTGATCTTTGACAAATAGCAAAAACATAATGGGGCAAAGATAGTTTTTTCAACAAATGGCGCTAAATCATCTGGACATCCATATACACAAAAAAAAAAAAAAAAAAAAATCACCCTTTATAAACATTAACTCAATGGATCACAGTCCTAAATTTAAGATGCAAAACTATGAAACTCATAGAGAATAACCTAAGAGAAAATCTAGATGATGTAGGGTTTAGAGATGACTATTTAGATACAACACCCAAGGCATGATTCATAGAAGAAAGAATTCATAAGTTGGACTTCATTAAAGGTAAATTTTTCTGTTCTGCAAAAGCCACTGAAAAGAAAATCAAAATGTAAGCCACATACTGGGAGAAAATATTTGCACAAAACATGTCTGATAAAGGACTGTTATTCAAAATATACAAAAAAACTCTTAAAACTCAACAATAAGAAAATATACAACCCAATTAAAAGTGGGCCAAAGGTCTTGACAGACACTCAGCAAAGAAGATACACAGATGGAAAACAGACATGTGGAAAGATGCTTCAGCTCATGTCATTGGGGAAATTCAAATTAAAACGGCAATGACGTACCACTGTATACCCTTTAGAATGACCAAACACAAAAATTTCCAAGCATAAAAATATTCACTTACATAAATATTTATCCATTCTTGATAACCATTACTTGAGGAAAGAGAAGCATTCCCTTGAGATATTGCAGTGAAGTTAAGAAGCTCTGAGTTTAGCTCCAATATCAAAGCGGGAAGCCTCAGGAGTTCCTGTCTCATTGGAGTGAGCTCTGCTAACCGTTCTGCTTTCTTTGCTTAGGGAGATCACAGGACAAATTCCCCTGAGGGGTCAGCACACCACAACTATATCAGCCTAACAAGGATCCCAGAGGCCAGGAGGGCAGAACTCAAACCCAGGGAAAGCTCACTGGGCTTCCACAATCAAAAGAGTCCTTGCCACTTGACTCGGGGCATCCCTGCCTTCTTAGATGTGGAGCTGAGAAAGACAGCATTTTGTTAGGAACCACAAATTAGGAAACATACAGGGATTTAAGGTCAGAAAAGGGAAATGTGTTGTTTCTTTAAAGAAGTATTTCAGTTCTTCCCTCCTTGCTAATCAGCTCAGAAGTTCAGAGGAGAAACATGAGGAAGCTGAGCTTTGGCTAAGAAGCTGAGTTGGAAATCACAGATGTGCAGAAGATCCACTTCTGGAGACACATTGAAGCAAA